CTCGAAGCCAGACAGCAAAAAAAGGAAACAGGGTATTATTTGTGACGAGGGCAAGCTCGATAGCTTCTTCCTTCACTGCCAGTTCGCTGCATCCAACTCAAAGTGTGTATAATTGACGAGAATCTCAAACTGCACGCTTGGCCTCCTTAATTAACACTTGAGATAAACATAATTTGTTATTATAGAAGTTTTTTAAATTTATGCTTTCTTGTGCCTCTCACGCGTTGGCAACTTTTGGAGATGCGTTGGCCACCATCCGATCCTTTTTAAAAATTCTCTTAAAAATTATTTTCTTTTTCAGATTATTAACTCTTGGAGGGTATCTAGGGATTCTTATACAAACATTTATAATTAATATACAATATTATTCAAGTTAAATTGTTTATTATATATCATATCAAACTTGTTTTTTTTTTAAAAAAAGTTGAATATTTGAATCTTAAAGTTTTCTTTCAACTTGAAATCTTAAATGTTTTATATAATTTATTATAATTAAGCTTAGAATTTAAAACATTAATAATAATTGTTGACAAGTATTATTCAAACTTTTTTAAAGTTAATATTTTATTTATAATAATATCTGTCATTAAATATAATAGTCAATAATTAATATGTTGATTTTTAATGAATTGAAATCATATATATATATTTATATAATAATTTTAAAAAATATTTTCAAAATACTCGTTAACAAAACTTTAAAAAAAAATTCAATCCATAATTTAAATTGCATTGGTCAAATAATTTTCCTATCGGAGAATTATCCCTCATTTTTTCTTAGATATACTTGAAAAAAATAATAATAGAGTGCATACTACAGTAATTGACCTTTAAATGGAGCTTTGAAGGTTAAGGATATCAAAATTTATAAGTTTCCGGATAAATCACTATATCAATTATTTAAGGGATTTTGAGGAGTTCATTTATTTAAGACAAGAGTGTAATTGTTGAATGTATTTTGGGATATCACCGTCATGATTTTTTTTTAAAGGAGAGAGTTCTTTAGGAATTTAGATATGATTTATTTTGTAGAATCTTTTGAGGAGAAATCTATATTCATCATAATATAAGAATAAAGATTTATACAAAAAATACGGATTGTATAAGTAAAAATCTAAATATTTTTAAAAACTAATTGAGCCATCTTGATGAATTTTACAGAGCCTATGAAACATACAAATGATATGATAATTATGTGAAAAGTTTGTGGTGAAGTCAAACTAACTATTCAAGATGTTGAAACATCATAAAAATTTTTCTAATGCAATATCTTCGGGATCCAGGCATTTTGAATTGGTTAGGATAAAGATGGCCCACGTAAGGTTTGATGAACTAAACTCAACGATAATGATGTAAACTTGACATAAGTATTATAAAAAAAAAAAAAAATTAAGATTTCTTTGAGGAGTCTGAATGTTAAATTTATTTTCAATAATAAAATTCAAATCTTACTAATACCAATTATAATAAAAAGCTGTGGACACAATGGGGAAAAACGAAATGGCAACCAAAATCACTTGCCACGTGTCAGAAAAGTGAGTAGGAGACGCAACTGTCAGTGGTTGGAAGATTTCGCAAATGAATGTGTAACGCCCTAATAACGCCACGGAGCCCACGATGATAAGGAATCTCCATTGCTTTCAAACCTTACGAGGTCCTGATCTCATACGGTCACGCATATTGAGGACGAAATCCTTGCTGGATTTTTATTGGCTTCTATTTGTCAAAGTAATTTGCCTTGTGAAATGTCAGACGAACCGGAGAATGACGCGTGTAAGATTCGATTAACGTGCCGGATGTCGGCGCTTTGTTAACTCATGGTAGGAGACAAAACACCATATGTTTAGGGTGTTTTAGGCCAACTCGGTCTTGATGCAAACTGATGACCTAATGACAAAACTACCCTTTTATTTCATAAAGACAAAAAAAGGTTTCTTTTTCCTTTTTTAAAGAAAAAACAATTTAAGCTTTTTTTTTGTTTTTTTTTTTATTTCATTGGTGAGATATTTTTATTTTCTATGAGTATTAACAATTATATTCACATTTTTAACTGATTAAAAATGTAAACAAACTGAATATAAAATAATTTTGTTATGTTTAAAACTTATTTATTTAATTAATTAATTTTAAAATATTATCTAATATTATTTATTAAATTTAATAATTGAATATAAATAAATAAAAATTGAAGTTGTTTAAAAACTATTCATGAAAATTTTTATTCATTCACACTCTCAAATGTAAATAAATTGAGTACAAATAAATTTTATTATATTAATAATTTATTTATTAAATTAATAAATTTTAAAATATTGTTTATAATTATTTATTAAATTTAATAAATAAATATAAATAGAACGATAAAATCTGTTCAAAAAATGTTTATCTAATATTGTTATATCTTAATTATTTATATCAAAATGTAAAATTACATGTATAGCTTTTTTTAATTAAATTTACCTTAAATGGACATCATCTTTCACGAAAAAAATTTTGCTGGCATAGACATTTGAGACTAATCAAATAAGTTATAAAATTTAATAAATATGAATTATATTTTACAATCAATATTATCGCCCAATAATCCCAGGGCCTCTTGGAGGATCTTTGGACCCAAAAACCCCAAATAAAAATTTTAGAAAATCCTATGGGGGTAATTTAGTCATTAAAAAATTGGTTCGTCATGATTCCTTTCATTGGCCGATTCCAATGATTAGGTCACGATTCCTTTCATTGGCCGATTCCAAGTTGTAGAATATTCAAAAACGGAGGGCTGGTGACGTGGAAGGGACATGTTGATTATAATAATAATAACTATTATTATTATTATTTGGTCTTTTAACAACGTCATTAAGCCATTTGTTTTCATCATTTTTAAGCAACCCTACTCGATGGTCTCTTCTTGTCATTGTCTTCTCCAACTAACCATCTTGACTACTCCCTAATCATCTTTTTGTTTTCCTTTTCGCCAAACACTCATTATTTTTTTAAAGATGCACAGTTTTGAATATGACATCACATAATTTTTAAATTGTTATAAATTTATAACAGTTATAAATTTTTTTATTTGAATTATTAAAATTTTAATTTTAATTAAAAAATTAAAATTAAAATTTCAATATTTTATCATTACATAACAATTTTACTTTGATTTTGTTTGATAAGAAACATGAAAAAGATTGAGAACAAAAAATTAGTTAATTTGATATATAAAATTCATAAAAACTTTTTTATTTTATAATTTAATCATTAAATTAATAAATTTTTAATTTTTACCTTATTATATTCTTCCAACTAATTAAAACCTTTAAATTTGTTTCCGTTGAAACTTATTTGCGTAGCAACCGTCTAGTTCAATTAAGAACACTTTAGATGGATAAGTAGCCTACATGATTCAATTTAAATCAATTTTGAACAAAAATTTTGAAGTTCAAATTAATTTGAGATGTTATTTTTTTTTCAAAAATAATATTTTTATTTATTTAAAATTATTAATATGAAATAAATTTTTAATATAGAAGAACTTAAATGAACTTAAACAAATGGAGCTTGGGTTTAAGCTTAATATTTAGACATGTCTATTGAATTTGGATTCGCTTTATCTTTGAGCACTTTTAATTCATACAATTATTATAATTTAAAACTAAAGGTGTATGGCACATGATCGAAAAGGGTTGATAGAAAACATAAGGAGTAGAGCATTCTCTTTCTTCTTTTCTTTGTTAATTAAGTACGGACAAATCATGTCTGATAAAGTAATGTAAGAACTAGAATCTCAACCAATTATTAATGTTTTTCATGTTTTATATTGCAATCATTCATCAAAGAGTGTTGGGAGTAATACGGGGATTTGATTTGTAATAGCCAATGATAATGAGAGCTTGTGCATGGTGGATACTCACGATACAATTTTATTTAAAAAAATGAAGAATGAAAGTGAGAGGGCATGTGTGAAACTCTCACATATTCTATATGCTCCGATCCCCTCCGTTAGAAAAGAAACCATCTTCTTTTTCTTTTAATGTGAGTGCAAGCAAATTACAATATATTTAAAATAAAACTTTGAATTTAAAAATATATATTTGTGTTTTATTCACATTTGCATGATAAAAGTGTTAAATCAAAAAATTATCTCGATGCTTATTTTCCTCTTTTTTTTTTTTTTTTGGGCAGCATTTTATTCGGACTTGATTTGGTAATAATTGTTGATTATCATATTCATAGATTGCATGTAAATTTATCTAATAAGCAGTCTACTAATTGCCCAACCCAGGTTGGACCCAGATTTGGTTAGGCCTAGCTTGATATTTAAATGGGCCTCAATTTGTTCTTTGACCCGGAAATAACTGCCGCTTCCTAATGATTTCATCTCTCCTTATCATGATATAAGCAAATCAAACAGTAACAAGCTGCATATATTTTTTATACAAAGAGACTGCAATATGAAGGTAAAGAAAGGGATTGTGGGTGTTAGGATTTAAATTTTAAATTTATTATATGTCATGTTTTAAAGATAATTACATGAATTAACCGAGTTAAATTCTTGAATTAGTGTATATATATATTATCATACTATTTTTAAAGTGATTTTTCTCTACTTATATATATACATATAACTGGACTATTTTTATCATGAACTTGGCCTTTAATTAACACTCGGAAGTTTGATTAGCATCAGATAAATATTCCTTTTTCAATGAGAACAAAATGTTCACCCTCATTTGCAAGGCTTCAAGGATTTCAATGTATTTCTAAAGTAATGAATGAGCAAGAAAAGGATAAAAAACTGGTCTGATTGTCTTCTTTTTCCCCATTTCTTTAAGCAATTGCTTTGCTTCTATGTTAATTGATTTGAATAATTTGATTCTTATACCTATCATATACACTGACAAAAGTCACAGAACTAGTAGTCTATAAGAACAAGAACATGAAAATGAACACTTTTTTTTTTTCTTTTCAATTTTGGATTTCAAATTCTTGAATTTTGAACAATTGGCTATACGATAAAAAATTGAGAAAATTGCTAATAACTCTCTCAACTTATTTCAGGCTCTATTTGCCACCCTAGCTTGCCTTAGGCAAAGAGAAGGAAAAGAAAGAAAAGGTCAGATATAAAAAGAGAAAAAAAAAATGCATGAGGATTTAGAAAAACTTCTTTTCAAACCCTCAAATTCAATGAATGTTTCAAGCTCCCCACATGCAGCAAATGTTGTCCCAATGCAATCTTTCGGCTTCCAAGCTCATCAACTACACTCAAATCCTTGCAAACATCCACCATGAATCTCACCAATGACTCTGACTTTTCTGTCAAGACAACTTTCTCAAATCCTAACAAATGCTTCTGAGGCGAGTTGTGCACTGATGGGGGAGAGGAAAACAAGAAAACTGTGTGGCTTCCGCTATATCTACCCTTGTTTTGAACTCTCAAATGTATGTCGAATGCTAAATCTTTACAACTTTGTTCAACAGCCTCAACTGACTTGCATTCAGATAAGCGACAAACGTGGTCTTCCTCCAAGGGGATGGATACTAGTTTGGGTGCTTTAACTAATTGATGGCTGACGTTGGAGTAGCTTAGTCCATCTCCAAATGTATAAATAGTTTCCCCAGTGTAGAATCTGTAGGTTCTGCCTGGATACCCATTGGAAGGATCCGGTCTCATGTTCATGTTTGTCATTGGCACCTTGTCAACATATGATTGAGGATACCATGTCATTGGCAGCCTTCCACCTGGAACAATGGCATTTAGGATTTAATAGAAGTGCTAACTTTTTTATCTAAACAAAAAGAAGCGAAATTCATTTGCAGTGATCCCAGGAAAAATGCATACTTATCAGGAAAGCAACTACATTTATATTGAAAGTCAGGAGAAATGTAGAAAGACTTACTTGGATTATAATACCCAAAAATCACGTCGGCTATGGCAGCTCCGCCAGCTTCTCCGGGGTAACCAACCCAAAGAATGCTTGTAATGTTGTCATTGCTTTTGGCAAATGATATATCAAAGCCTCCTCCAGACATGATGACAAGAATCACAGGTCCCCTGGCCGCCTTCGCAACTTCTGTTATTAGAAGTGGCTGCTGTCCTGGCAAAAGAAGGTCAACTCGGTCAAAGCTCTCTCTTTCAAGTGATTGATCTATGCCCATCACAAGTACAGTGGCATCTGCTGAGGCAGCTATTTTCTTAGCAGCATCTACTTGGGCAGTGCCACAAGCCACATTGGAGCAGCCAGAAACATAAGTAGTTGCCACTGAAGCAGTTAGACCCTGCAAAGGTGTTGTATATTTGCATGGAATGCCTGCAAGTGTTTCCAATGATCTAAGTTGATCATGTTACATGAATTACTAATATTTGTTTGAAGCTTGTCTAATTGTAAACTTGTCAAGAAGAAAACCATGTAGCAATAGACTTTTCCAAATGATAATAGTTAAATACTTTTTAAGTATCAAATAGCCAAGTTCGTAATCACAAGTAATTTGTTTGACTACCTTCATAGTTTCCAATCATAGTTTTTGTGACATTGGCATTAGGTCCAATTACTGCTAAGGTTTTGATAGCAGTAGGAGATAGAGGCAACGATCCTGCACTGTTCTTGAGCAACACAATCCCTTGTCTTGCAGCTTCACGGGCCAACTCTTGATTCTCTGGAGTACACACGTCCTTTGGGCCAAGCTTTCCATAAAGTTGCTTTCTAGGATCACCATCGAAGAAGCCAAGTCGCATTAAAGTAGCGAAATTGTTGGTGACAGCGTTATCAATGGCTGACTCATTTAAAAGTCCTGCTTTCACCGCAGCCTCGGTGTGTTTGCCAAGGAATGATCCACAGTTGAGATCCAACCCTGGAACATAAAAACATTTAGCAATTACCAGAGCATTCTGGTTTACTAACTAAGATTTTACTTTGCTTAAATGTGGAAACAAATATATTTATTCTAGCAAGTGTACAATCTCTCTAAGTATGTTTTGATTCATATGTTCCTTTTATTGCCTATATCTAAGACTAAGAACATTCTTAGTTACCAGCAGGAGAAGCTTGCTTGGTTCAACTGAAGGTTTTTTTCTTTTTTTTTTTTTTTTAATGGTACATAAGATGCCACAGCCTTGAGATGAAGGAAGGGATTACAGGTGCTAGGATGCCACCTCTTAAGAGTGGCTATATGAACCAACTGACATAAACTCCAAGTTTGGTTCAACTGAAGTTTTGATAAAAGCCATAGTTGAATTAAAGCTTCTCAAAAATAGTCATGCTGAAATTATTTAAATACTGTTTTGTTATTCCATTAATTAGCCTAACTTCAGCATCTCAGAACAAAATAGTTGTTTCAACTTAGAAATTGGACCAAACAGACATCACTTGCATTCCATTTTTAGTAAAGGAAACAGAGCCACCTGCCGAAATTGCTAGGGCTGCAGCTTCCTCTGGTGTCTTGGTATAGTGCTGGCTATTGTAGAACACGTCTACTGAGTCACAATCTGAAACTATGTACCTGCAGCAACCCAAAAGCCATGTAAACAAAACACTGCTTGCTAAATACGTCCTTGGAAAATTTTGTCCTGAAAATGTTAGGAGAAATGAATATACCCATTTAATTTCCATTGCCCTCGAATAACCCCTGCCAGAAGATCAGGGTCTGCGCAAGTTGGCTTACCGTTTACCTGGTTGTAAGAACACATAACACTGGCTACATTCCCATCAATAACACAGCTTTTGAATGGCGGTTGAAATGTATCATCCATATCTTGTTGGGTTACCTAACCATCCACAAACGAATCATGACAAAGGTAACTTTGACTAAAGAAATTAAACTCGATTGAACTTAAAGTACCACAGCATTGAAATGGTAGCGATCAACTCCTTTCCAGTTGTCCAAATCATATGCTGTATAATGTTTACAACACGCAGCAACCTTAAGCAGTGAAGGGTCACCATCATCAGTTTGTTGTAAACCTTTGACATAACTTGATCCATATTTGCTGCTGAGCAATGGGTCCTCCCCTGGTGTTTCTTGCCCCCTTCCCCATCTAGGATCTCGGAATATGTTAATGTTTGGAGACCAATATGTTAGTCCTGCCAATCCAACATTGTACATTGCTCTAGCTTCAGTCGAAACCACCTGAAAATGTGAAAAATGGGTATAAATAAGGGGATAACAGAAACTGAACATTACTCACGGATTGGCTGCAAAAAACGCACCACAGTAAGCAATGTGCCTTCTTTTGAACTATACAACCAATGAATAATTCCCTCAAGGCTATTGATTGCGAAAATGATAATGTCAACCACGGTGACACAAATAATGCATTCAACATCTAATTTCAAAAACTGTGAAAAGAAATTCAACCACGCAGCTTTCAGCTAGCCTCATCAAATTCTGCATGGTTTTCTAGTTTTCATACCTAACAAATTTAATTCAATCAACCGATCGGAAAATGAAAAGTCCATCCTCGTTGAAAGAAATCCAATGCACGTTAAGTTAGAATCATCTTCTAAAACATACACGCAAAAGAAAAACAACAAGAAAAAGCGAAATGACAGAAAGAGATATAAAAACAAAAAGCAAAACGACATAAACCTGGGAGAAGAACAAATCCAAAATAAGAAAAAAAACAACTTTACCCTGCCAATGGCTTCGAAGAGAGAAGTGTTGAAGGATGCTGCCGTCAAGATGACCTGAGGAAAGCTTGTAGCTCCTGGAACCAAGCTGCTAAACTTGGTACCGGGACCGACGTTGGAGACTCCATGTAGAGCCTCGGACCACCATTCATATTTTGGTATTCCAAGCCGACTAACACTCCCAGCACTATTCACTATGAACAGAATTTTCTCCTGCAATGTAAGCCTTTGCACCAAGTCAGCGACCCTCATATCTGTCCCCAACGATGCGTTACAAAAACCATAACTTGCAACCTTTGGATTTTTAGTAGTATCACAGGCAAAAACAGGTGATGTTTGCGCAAAAACCCGAACCGAGATCAATGAAAAACAATGCAAAGAAATCAAGAAGCGGAGGAAAACAGAGACCTGAGGTGCTCTGTTTTCAAAAACAGAGGAGAAGGAGGTCATTTTGACCACCCCTTTTGATCCTCCGTTACTACTAACCCAAAAATAAAAATAATAATAATAAAGGGACTAAAAACTAGAGGAAACTTCAGCATGAAAAGTTGGTTAAGCTTTGGTACTTTTATAGAGGGCAGAGTAAGTTAAAAACAAACGTTGTTTTGTAGTAGCCCGTGATGGAAAATTGGTGGGGACGCATTAAATTTTCTTGGGAGCCGTGTTTTTGGCAGAGGGAACCAACGCAAAATTTTGAGAGAATCTAAGAAAAAATTTTTTTGACTAACATTTAGAAAGAGGCTATTCGGGTCCATGATGGATTCATCCTTTTTCTAACTCGACTCGAGGCTGTTTTATTTGGGAAAACTCAAATGCATGGTTGTTTGATTTGTCAGTGTTAAAAAACTTTTATAAAGGATTTCAAAGAGTGTATCGAGTAAGGTTAGAGCATCGAAAGTCGAGACTTTAGGCCTGTTTTTCTCGCTTCTCTGTAAATCACGTGAGGGATTTTGGGATCATATCTCGGCTCCGTTTTAACTTTAGTTTCAGCCAAAAGTTGACAACCAAGTCATGCCTTGGTTGATTTGCTTACTTGCTTTTGAACCCTTCTCTTAGAGAACCCCTAGACTTGAGCGATTATATTTGATAAACATCAATGAAATAGAAAATTTGGATTAAAACCTTCAATTATTCCTTATCAGATTTATATTAAGGTTAAAATTTACTACACTGGCGTTTAAAAAGAAGTTTCCTTTATTAGAAAAGAGATTCTTCGGAGGCCATTGGAGCCGAGCCAAGTGGGGGATTTGGGGGGAAGAAGACAATCCCCAGATAAAATGTGAAAGAACCGAAGCATGACTTTCAATTTGCCCCCATTTTTTGTAACCTGGCTGAATATCAGTAGCTGTGTTTTTGATTGGTCCGTCTGTGAGCCAAGGCTGAAAAAACAATTTTCCTAATTTTTTACTCCAAATCCGTCAACGTAACACAAACTACTTATTACAAAGATCCTCAAATCAAAAGGTATAATGTTCACAAAGTAACTTTGAATCATTACAAAATATTTAATATAATACATAAATTTTTAAAAATTTTAATGTAAAATTTGAATTCTTAATTTACTAATTAATATAATATTTATTATGAACGTAAATAATTACAAATTATGACATATATTGGATAAATAATTTTCAAAATATTACGTGAATTAATAAATTCATAATTTATGTTTCATATTAAAAATTTTTAAAATTTATATATTATATTAAATTATTTAATATAAAAAATAATTTTTAAAATATTTCATAAATAAATTAAAATAAATTATAGTTTTCAAGAAAAATGAGATATGATATCTCATTTAAAAAATTTTCATATAATAAATAAATTTTAAAATTTTTTAATATGATACATATGTAAGTTTAAATAATATATGTATCATTTTAAAATTTTAAAATGAGATATGATATCTCATTTTTCTTGAAAACTATATTACTAATAAATTTAAACTCATCAAAAAATAAACTATTAAAAGTAAAAAAAAAATTACCACTTGATCTATTAGTAATATATATAGCTAAGACACTTAAATCAAGCCAATGCTACCTGTTAAAAATAATATTATAGTGGTACAATTTTTTTGATATTAGGAAGATAAAATTTTAGTACAAATAAAAAAAATTAACTCAAAATTAAATTTTTGATGTCTTCCAAACGTTTTTAATTACTAAATCAAAAATTTAAAAACATAATATTATGACTCATTAATATATTTGCTAACATTTAATTAAATTGTATCAATTCAATACGATCCATTTGATATCTCTATTTTATATGAAAATGGGAAGGAATCGTTTACACATGCTGGTTAAGAATTATTTAATTATTATTTAAATATTTTGAATTTATTACACTATTTTTACCAAATTTAATAAAAACAATATCTTAAATACACATTTTTATTTAAATATCGTTTTATTCATTCTTATTAAATATTATTTAATATTTTTAAAAAACTCCGAACTTAAAAAAAAAAAAACTGTGGGACCCGCATTGTAACAGAGGAGGCACGTGGGTCCAGCTGTATGGCAGAAACAGGTAGATCATAAGTGTATGGCACTAAGGTTTACGGCACGTGAAACGCGTGTTGAAATGGGCGCGTGGGGATGTTCTAAAAGGGAGAGCCTTGCAAGTTGCAAGTTGCAAGTTGCAACTTGTTTTGAGAGTATCATGTGATGGGTACAAAAGGCTACGTCTACGTACCGGCGTACGTATATTATTGTTCATGGATGTATTTTGAATTGTTTGCATCGTAAATCTAATGGATGCTTCAAATTAAACAACGATGACGTTAACCCCTAAACTTCATTTAACTTAACGGTAATGCAATTTTGGATTCGAATCTTATATACTGTCTTTCATTAATGTTAATTTTTGTACGTAATTTTTAGAATATATGATATGTTTTACCTTACTTAAAAGATTATTTTAAATATATATATATTTTAAATTTTACATATAAAAAACAATTAATTTTGATTTCATATTTAATTTCATTTTTAACTATATTGTAATCTGAAGTGAGCATTTATATATATATATATTATGTTTAAAATGTTTAAATTTTGAACTTTATTATTAAATTTAATATTTTATTAATAAATCATTCCATTAATAATTTATATTATTTTTTATGCTCAACAATTTGATTAACCGCAGCTACTACTTATAATTATTTTTAAAAAATTTCTTGTGGAATGGCCTTTGACCCTTCGTTCGTCGAAATAAATAAATATCAATAGCAAAAAAGGAAAAATGCGAAAGCAGGCATCATGCATGTATGGGGGCTACAGAGATGATTGAGATTAACAGTGGGGGGATTGTATTTTCCCTGGATTATTCCATATGAGCAAAGCTGTGGAGCAGATGCAGCGTAGAACTTTTCAATATTATTTTCCAACTTGGCCGGCACTTTTTATCTCTATTCATTCCTCCTAGATTTCCCGCCAAGCAGCTCTTACGAAAAAAAAAAATGTAGTAAATCCCAATTATGAATCATAATGAATTTATATATATATATATATGCTATCTTACGTTTTAAACAAATTATCTCTCCAGCTAATTGAAAAAAAGTTAATTATTATATGAAAAGGTTATGATTTAATTAAGGTCTATGATTTAGGGTATAACTTCATTGGATTTGGAGGAAAGTAGTAATAAATTATACTTTCCCTGTTATATTTTCGTTGTTCTTTTTTTTAAATGCCTCAAAATTATATTTTATTTTTTTAATATCTAAAATTTTTATTTTTTATATTATAAAATTATTTTTTTATAATTTTTTTACTTTTTAATATTAAAAATTATGAACCTTTAATTTTATAAAAAAATAAAATTTAATATTAAATAAATTAAAGTTAACTTTTTCTTTAATTTCGTAAAAATTAATATAGGAAAAATATTTTAAGAATGACAAGGTTGCTGCTGGATATGGACATATATGGACTGATATTGTTAAGCAGGGAATAATAATAAGAAGAAGAAAAAGGGGTTTTAGATGTTGGTATGTTCCCATCTGAAAAAAGGGACCATTGTTAGGTATGTACAGACTGTCCTGCAAATGAATGCAAAGAACTTTCCAATCAAGGTATCACTTTATACCTACAAGCATGGGTCAAGATGACTAGATCTGTATAACCATTTTCTACAAACAATATTCTTTAAAAGGACCCCATTTTTTTTTTTTTTTTTGCATTAGACAAAAATTAGCTAGCACGTACATGAATATTAGATCATGTATATTTCAACTTATATTAAAGTAAAAGTAAGCCGGATCAATTGTAGCAACAGGTCCTATTATGCTTTGGAAATCAATTAGCACCATGCACTTAATTATATTTATCTTTTGGCCTTAAAGCTTGGGCACTTTTTATTACGTACTTGTCATGCAAACCTGGTTCGCATTAAGCCTACATCAACACAACCAATCGTTTCAATGGGTTAATGCCTGATTGGTGGAGAAATAAAGGCGTACATATCCAATTCCTCCAAACTTTACATTTTTTCATTTTAGACATATTTCACAAACTTTGTCCTTGGTGTTTTTTTCTTCCTTTCATATATAAATGAATTGAGCATGCAGCGTCAGTTGAGTCAATTACTTACTAAAAGGGTAAACCATAAAATTAATTAATATTAATGCTAACATTTGTTTATCGATCTCTATATCTCAATTTGCTGTCTAAATGAAAAATAATGTAGTCTGGTATAGTAAAACCTAAAATTTAGTCTGATTGATTTATTTAATCATTCTTACAAGTAACACTTAGCATAAGTCTAAGTTTAAATTTTAACATTTTTTTTTTTATATTTCAAAGTTATAGCTTCTTTTATAAAAAAAATTTAATATGACTTTAGCCTTGTTTAATAATAGTAAAGTGTTAAAAAATGCATAGAGCCGATTGAGTTTAATTAATTAGTATTCACTTAGGATTGTAGTGTGACGAAATATTCCATATGGATAGTGGGTCTTAATCAAATGTATTAGGAAAAATGAATGGTATTGGGAACCATTCTCTACTCGAGGACAAACGATTTCATTATAACATTCATCAACCATATTATAGTATAAGTAAAGCAGCCATATCTTGTTTTATTGGCATATCTATCAAACATATATATAATTTTTCGGGCTAATTACAAGTATGAAAACAGACAATGATATATATATATATATATACACTTTAATTTATTATATATTTTGGTACATAGGCATATGGATCACACACGGCATAATCTGCCGCCAGATTTTTGGGAGTTGAATGATGATTTGGTCCAATCCTGTTTTATTTATTTTGATTGAAACATTTTTTACAGTTGTGTTATTTTGGTTTATAGTGATTTCATATATTCATACATACATATACATATATATATATATATAATGTCTTCCAGGTTTAATTGAATTGACAAGTGAATATATTTTTTTTATTTTACTAATTTTTTCACTATAGCATGGTTGTTTTCTAAAGATAAAAAAAATTTTGCCATATATAATGGTTAGTTTTCTTGGCATAGC